AGACGGGGTCTCACTATGTAGTTGAAACTGACCTGGAACTCACTATGTATCCTAGGCTGGTCTCGAGCTCACAGCAATCCTCCTGCCTCAGCCTCCCAAGTGCTGAGATTACAGGCATGCGCCACCACGCCCGGAACATACACTGATTTCAGTTTAATGCCTTATGCATGACCTATAACTTTGGGTCTCACGTGTATTTCTTGTTTCAAAGAATCACTTGTTTATCCTCTGTGAGATGCATATATGGAGGGGCCGAGGATTTAGTTCAGTGGTTCCGCCGCCTGCCTCGCAAGGTCAAGGATCCCAGTTGGATTCCCCGGTACAAAAAAAAAAGGTGAATATATGGAGGGAAGTTTCATATTGACCCTTCAGTTGTCTAGTGGTTTCTTTGATTTTCCAGCATCCCTCTTCTTTGAGTACCTGGTTTGAAAATTTTTATTGCTAAGCATTTATTTACCTATAAGGTAAAATTCAATAAGTCCTGATTTTGTTACATTTTAGTTGTATATCATTGCTTAGTCAGGAGTACTTGGCATGCAGCTGTCCTCACAGGAGTCACAGCTGATTCGATGTCACAGTTCATGGCCTTCCGGAGTCAGGTGGTGGGGCCCTTTTTCAAAAATTTAAATATCCTTGTCATTCATAATTAGTTTTCATTTTTACCTTGTGTTTTCTTATTTCCAATATTCTTATTTCTTTTTCTTTCAATATTGGTTGTATGATTTTCATGAAGCCGAATGTACTTTTTTAGCATATTTCTTATATGCTGTGTATTGTAATACATTTTTTTCAAACTTTAACGTTTTGTACAAAATTGTCCCATAATTCTAATATGTCTACATTTATTTCTTCACTTACTGTTGAAATAATAGGTTATTTAACGACATACTTCTCAAAAGGATGTGCTTGCAGTGAGAAAGTAGCCCAGTGGTGGAGCTCATGCTCGGCGTGACCGAGGTCCGGAATGCTTCCCACCTCACTCACTGACGACAGACATAGGGTTTCCAAAGATCTTCCTTCCCTATAATTTCTAATTTTTGTTTATTACACTCAATAAAGTACTTACATTTTGCAAATACAATATTTTTATTTGGTCATACAGCATACAAAAATTTCATAAGGCCTAACAGAATTTATTATGACTCCCTATTTGTTCTCTGTTTGGGGACCATTCAGAAAGTATCTGCTGTGTGGTTTCAGAATATTAAGTGCATTAGAAAAATACTTGCTGCATTGCATTTGTGAAGTCCTTTGAAATTTACAATTGCAATCAGCTATTTATGCATTAATGATTAAAATATTTCAGAACTCCATGAGATTGTTTTTTAGTACTTAAGTTCCAGAAAATTTTTGCTTTTATACTGGTCATGCAGTAAAATAAACTCAAGAAAAGATGCTCATTTTGACATTGAAATTGTGATTTTCTTGCTTTAGATATTTTAGAAGCTGTTTGTCTGTTTGTTTGTTTTTGTTTTTGGGTACCGGGGAACAAACTCAGGTCCTCTGCTTGCGAGGCAGGTGGCAGAACCACTGAGGTAAATCCCCGTCCCCTAGAAATGTGTTTTAAATGTATGGAACTCTTCCTACCTTCCTGAATTTTCTGTACAATGTAAAGTTTGATGTCTGGACTGAATAGCAGTACTATAAAGATAAAACATGTAAACCCATGCATTCAAAATATGGCAGTCATATATTTTGTAAAAGAGAGGAAATAACTATCGTGCTTTGATTTTGTTATAGAAATGACTGTGTGAGCATCATTTTAAGTCAACTTGTTTTTTGTAATTGACAAAGAAAAATTCCTTCTCCATCTTTCCTGGTGAACTGGAAAGTGGAAGCGCTTGAGTTCACCATTTCATTCCGTTTGTGTCCCAGTGGAGGACAGTGTGATCAAAAGCCTAGGTGTGTGCAGCTTCGGACCCGACGGATGCTCTGAGAGCCCGCAACTCTGCCGGAAGAGTGAGTTTCACTGTGTGTCCCCCGGTCCCCGCCATTACCTCTCGGGCCAGGCTCCTCTCTTCCCTCTTTGAACACACTTGGCACACGGTCGAGAGTCCTGCTCTAAGGTACCTAGTGCTCTGCTACGTGAGCAGCGTTCCTCTTGGTTCTCCGTCCTGTATCTTCTCAAAGGAGAACACGAAAGCCACTTCTCTCCAGGAGAGCGTAGGATGTTGCACCACAGGTAGGAGGCGTATGCATTAAGTAGCTTAAATGTCTGCCTTGTCTCTGATGTTCTATCCGGTCCTGCTTCTGATGGTGAGCAAGGTTTCTGTAGACTGCTTCTGAGCGTCTAGGGATTTCACATTTACGAGTGTACTGCTTTGTTAGCTGTGCCCAACCTGTAAATGATTTTATTTTCCCATTCTGGCATGTGGGCAAGCAAGCATGAATTAAGTTTCTTTTCATGTGGGAATTTAGTGTTTATATATTTTAAAATTAAGTTTATTCTCAAAAAGGTTTTGGTGGGCTGGGATTTAGCTCAGCGGTTCCGCAGCCTGCCTCACAAGGTCATGAGTTCAATCCCCTGATACCAAAAAAAAAGCTTTTGGTGAGATGTAACAATAATAATATATATGTCCTAGGAACTCTCAGAAAGTATAACAACTGGGCCTTCGGGCAGATTTAAGAGTGTCCAAGTGAAACCCTATGAGACTCATCCTTGGTTTCCCTATTTATTGTGCCATTTCATATAAATTTACCGTGTGAGTCCTATAGAAATTGCGCAGGAAAGCGTTACATGAGGTTTCTTCATCTCACTGTGTTTCACATGTGGTCATACCTGTGTCACGGTTGACATTTTTTCAAGTTTACTTTTTATTAAATGTGTAAGGGAATCATAGTTTATTCTTACACGACATGGATCATTTGATTCATACACAACAGCATGTGTGTTTTCTGGAATTGGCATGAGTCACCTGTGTATAGAATATGTAGTACACTCCCAAGAGGAGGACATGGCTGTGGGATGTTCCATGTGATCCTTCATGTTGTGCTTAGTGTACTTACCGGTATTATCTTTCCACAATCCCACTTCCTCTGCCCATTTCGTCAGACAAGGTTATGGATCTTGTTTTTTATTTGGTGTTTTCTCTTGAGGTTTCTATGTGTAACTGTTTGTTTGTTGGTTGGTTGGTGGGTTGGTTGGTTCTGGAGATCGAACTCTGGTCCTTGTACTTGCGAGGCAGGCAGCGGCACCATTGAGCTAAATCCCCAGCCCCTTTACTGTTATTTCTTAGGTGTGTATTTTTTTGTTTTTTGTTTGTTTGCTTTTTGTTTTTTTGTTTTTGGTAGTGGGGCTCGAACTCTGGTCATTGCACTTGCAAGGCAGGCACTGGAACCACTGAGCTAAATCCCCACCCAAGTGTTTAATTTTAGTTGGTACACACATACACAGATTCTGTTTATGCCAGTAAACTGTCACTGCAAATAGATTTTTCATTTCTTGTGTCTTTTACTTCTGATGATTTACATAGGTTGCAATTTTTCCCTTTAATTCTGTGGGGTTTTTTTGTTTGGTTGGTTGGTTGGTTGGATTTTGAGACAAGATCTTATTGTTGTTCAGGCTGGCCTTCAACTTCCTATGTAGCCCAGGCTGGCCAAGAACTCACGGTGATCCCCCGGCCTCAGACTCCCAAGTGCTGCGATTACAGGTGTGCGCCAACAAGCCCAGCTCTCGCTCTAATTCTGATAGCTTAATGATTTTCTTCTAAGGAAACACTTTTTTTTTTTTTTTTACTTTCAAAGGATATCTCAGGGTGAATTCGAAAAGTGTTCAAGTTTATCTTTTGCACTTCAAGAGGTAATTTAAGTATGAGGCATATGAACAATAAAATACCTTTATCCTCCTGCCTTGTATCTTAAACAGATTGTGACTTGTGCCCCTTTGTGCCATAAAAATTCTATCATGAATAACTATTCTGTTATGGCTTCTATCTAGATATCTCCCCCCGCAGTGCCTCCTGCGATCACAGGTGGGTTTCAGAGGGAGCTGGTTCTGTAGTGTCTGATTCTGGGACTGACTCCCAGTGTGATGCTAGGATGAAGGATGTGAGTGCTACTAGCCGGGTGAAATACACAGGGCAGAAGGAGGCTTGCTGTTGCCACTTTCCACTTACTGCTCGCTGCCGTCCCTGTCTTCAGCCTGCCGTAGACTGCGTGCTCTCTGTGATTCCCTTCTTCCATTCCACCCTGCCTTGGAGCCAACGCGTCATACACTGAAACCTCTGCACACTGTGAGCTGCAATAAACCTTTCAGCCTTTAATTTTTTTGTTTGTTTGTTTTTCGGTCCCGGGGATTGAACTCGTTTTCAGTCCCGGGGATTGAACTCGAAGTGAAAACATAATGATTCCTTAGTTTCTCCTTTCGTTATCAGAACTGCTTAAGTTCCCACGTATTTGTGGTCAGTACATTTACGATGCATTTTCACCGTATGAGTCTTCCCCCATTTGTCTCTCTCTGACACCACACTTCAGGTAACTGAAGCATAGGTCACTATATGTTCCTTAATCTCATTTCATTTTCCTTAGACACTCTCTGAGAAGAACTGTATAATTTTCTCCATTAGCTATCCAAATTTTGTTTTATAGGTTTTTCTTATTGCTTAATTAAGGCTTTGGCTATGAAACCAGGTTGAAATTTCAAATTACCGTCTGAATAGAGCCAGGGAGGGAAGAAATCAATTCCCTAAATATTAAGGCCAGAGGGCTGGGGATTTAGCTCAGTGGTTCCACCGCCTGCCTTGCAAGCGCAAGGACCCGAGTTTGATCCCCAGTACCAAAAAATAAAAATATTAAGGTCAGAAAAATGACATTTTGTACAATCAGAGTAACTTCACGTACTTGTCTACCTTACTTTTTTTACTTGGATTCTAATTTTGTAGGCTCCTTCTGTGAACCATGCTTGAGAGGCATTGTACAAAGAAACTGGGGCTGACCCAGGTTCCCCTTGCATAGTTACATTAGCAGTGAATTCCAGTGTAACATGAAAATTCCTGTATGACGTGTACATGTGAATGGACAGTTAAGTGTTTCATGACTGAGACGTGAAGGAAACATTCGGAAACCTCAGCCTCATATGGGCTGTGTCTGAGGAGAGATGAGATGTTCCATGTTGTGAATCTCATACTTCTTCCTGGAAACACGTGTCTGATGATTTAGGAGGCACTGACCTTCGAGGATGTGGCTGTGAACTTCACCCAGGAGGAGTGGGCTTTGCTGGATCCATCCCAAAAGAAGCTCTACAGAGATGTGATGTGGGAAACCTTTAGGAACCTGGCTGCCATAGGTAAGGAAGATATCGTTTTCTCACGTACGCAGTCAGTGTTGGTTTGTGCTCAACAGTGCACTTTTCTTAATTGGAAGGTGGAAACGTTATAAGGCATCTTGTAGGCGTGTGCACATCTTTCAGTGACTAACTGGAATCTACTGAGTTTGGTATAACACAGTAAGTCATTATCATATTTCTGTTCTACACTTTAGGAAGACATTCAGATGACCAGCACATTGAAGATGAGTACAACACTTGCAGGAAAAGTCTAAGGTAATTTGCACTCACAAGAAGAATGCTCCTCAAGTGTCAGAATATGAAAACCAAGGCAACTACACAGACAGCACTTTGTTCAGATTTCTTTCTTTTCACAAACTTTCTCGAAGGACTTACCTGTATTGACCGTCTCTAATCTGACCATTGAGTATTTGAAACATTCCAATGTCTGAAACATAGGTGGAGCTGACATTATACCACAATGGGCATCTTCGACTCACGTAAAAGGACCAACCCCAGGAGTGGTGGCGCCTACCTGTAATGTCAGCGCTTGGAAGGCTGAGGCAGGAAAATCGGGAGACCTCTCGAGTTCATGTCCACCCCTGGCCACATAGTGAATGGAAGGCCAAGCTCAGCTGCAGAGTGAGACTCTCTCAAAAAACAAAAAGAACATGTGGCAGGAATTTAGCTCAGTAGTTCCACCCCCCCGCCTTGCAAGTGCAAGGTCTCAAGTTCGATCTCCAACACCAAAAAAATTAAAAACCCCCAAACGACAAATAAATGATGTTCCACACTCCAAAGTAGAGCTTTCATGAAGTAGGTTGTATGTACATGTTCAGGGAGAATTAAACCAAATTCTGTGTATACATTGAGAGCCAAGTTCTAACTGTATATACATGTGTTTTTAAAAGATCGCTTTCATATCATAGAAATTAAATAAGCAATGCTCATCTTGAGATAGACACATTTCAGATTTTTAAAAATTGCTAATTTCGGGCCAGGGATTTAGCTCAGCGGTTCCGTGGCCTGCCTCGCAAGCGCAAGGACCTGAGTTCGATCCCCGGTACAAAAAAAAAAAAAAAATTGCTAATTTCCTGGATATATTCAAAATCCAAATGAATGCCTCTGTTTTTATCATAGTTTCAAGCAGTCCTCCAAAGCAAACAGTCCATTCATGTTCCCAAATATTAGAGGCTGTACCCTTATATTATCGGTGGGACTGTCAGTGTGGTATAAAATTTACAGAAATATAAATAGAGATTGCACAGAAAAGGAAAACTAGGAATTCCATTTTTTCCAGCTCTCCTTGTACTGTGTACGTTGCCCCAAAAGGTGAAGTGCTCCTATCACAGTGTTGCATAAAGACCCATGTGAGCTCTGGAGAAAGCCTAAGTGCCCATTCACAGATAGGTTGATTAAGGAGATACAGGATAGCGGGGCATAAAGGGGAATACTTGGAATCCAGGCACCCTGGGAAGCTGAGGCAGGAAGATCATACATTCATGCTCAGCCAGGGTAATTTAATGATTGATGAGAAGCCTGTGGATGTATCTCAGTGCTAAATCCTTGGGTTCAATTTCCAGCACTGAAAACCCTGTGGTTCTACACACAGTGGAATAGTACTCGTCCAACAGGAGAAGGAAGTGATGTCATTTGCCAAATATGGATGGATCTAGAGCCCATAATGTTGATTAAATCACTCAAGCACAGAAATTTCCATATCACAAGTTATATTTTGCATGAAAATGCTACAAATGAATGAAGCAGTAAAACAAAAGTGAGTGGTAGAATAAAAAAGGCAGACATTTTGGGGTGGATGAAGACGGGGGAAGCCAGAGGGGATAGAGTTATAGACGAAAAGGTTTAAAAATCTCTGTGCAGCGTATTTCATAAAGGTGTACTCCACTCCCTCAAAATGAAGTTGAGTAGTGTGTATTGCAAATGTATCCGCTGTGAACTCACAGGTGAATCCTTCTGTTGTGGTAAAAGCTGTTTCCAAGCCATCCTCCAGCGTGTGCAGTAAATTCATGATGAAATATTCTGAGGGGACGTCAGAGCAGATCTCCTCATGGTAATTCAGTACTACAAAGTCACTTTTCAATGTGATTGGTTGTTCTGTTACTTTTCCCTTCTACAGAAGTGAAGAGGGAGAGAAATCCTGTCAGTATAAATTACGGTACCAAGGTGGAGAAGCTGTTGTTCAGACTCCAGATACGAATGCGCACATGAAACTTGTTCATATAAATCCAGGTGGGAGCCTCTCCTGTAGAAGGCACCTGACTGGTCCTTCCTCAGCAGATGGGCCCATCACAGCCGACGCTGGACTCAAATCACCTGAGCAGCAGGGATTTCAAGGAAAGCTGTCTAACTGTAACATACATGGAAAAACCTGCATAAAACTTCAGTCATCTCAGAAATATGCAAAGACTCCTCCTGGGGAGAAACCCCATGATCATATGCTAGGCGGAAAATCCTTCCCTGATTGCACTGAAGAAAGTACCGTTGAAATGAAGCCATTTAAATATAAGCAAGATGTGACATCATTCATTACACCCAGCAGTGCTCAGATTGGAGAGGGAAGTCACAGTGAAGTGAACAGATACACATGTGTAACATGTGGGGAAATTTTTATTTCTTACCATGATCTTAAGATACATGAAAAAGGTCACACTGGAGGAAAAAAGTATGTAGTTAAACACTGTGAAAATTTCTTCACTAACAGCAAATCAAGTGACAATCATGAAAGAACTCACACCGGGGAGAAACCCTACGTATGTAAGCAATGTGGGAAAGCTTTCAGAACACACAGAGTTTGTCAAGGACATGAGAGGACTCACGGTGGGGAGAAACCCTATGTCTGTAGGCAATGTGGGAAAGCTTTCAGCAGACAAGGTAATTGTAATCGACATGAAAGAGTTCATTCTGGGGAGAAACCCTATGTATGTAAGCAGTGTGGCAAAGCATTTAGCACACACAGTGATTGTCAGATACATGAACGGAGGCACACAGGGGAGAAACCGTATGTATGTAAGCAGTGTGGGAAAGCTTTTATCACTCATAGTGCTTGTCAAAGACACGGACAAACTCACTCTGGACAGAAACCCTACATATGTAAGCATTGTGGGAAAGCGTTCAGCACACATGGTGAATGTCAAACACATGGACAGACCCTCACTATAGAGAAACTCTGTGTAAGTCAGCAATGTGGTGAAGCTTTCGGCATAGGTGGAGATTGTCAAAGAAATGAGCAGACTCACGCTGGAGAGAAACCCTACGTATGTAAGCAATGTGGGAAAGCTTTCAGAACACACAGAGTTTGTCAAGGACATGAGAGGACTCACGGTGGGCAGAAACCCTATGTCTGTAGGCAATGTGGGAGAGCTTTCAACAAACTAGGTAATTGTAATCGACATGAGAGAGGTCATTCTGGGGAGAAACCCTATGTATGTAAGCAGTGTGGCAAAGCATTTAGCACACACAGTGATTGTCAGATACATGAACGGAGGCACACAGGGGAGAAACCGTATGTATGTAAGCAGTGTGGGAAAGCTTTTATCACTCGTAGTGCTTGTCAAAGACATGGACAAACTCACTCTGGACAGAAACCCTATGTATGTAAGCATTGTGGGAAAGCGTTCAACACACATGCTCATTGTCGATTACATGAACGGACTCACACTGGTGAGAAACCCTTTGTATGTAAGCAGTGTGGGAAAGCTTTCAGCACACGCAGATCTTGTCAAAGACACGAGCACACTCACACGAGGCAGAAACCGTATGTATGTAAGCAGTGTGGAAAAGCTTTCAGTACAGGTGCTTACTGTCAAGCCCATCAACAGAGGCACACTGGTGAAAAACCCTATGTGTGTAAGCAGTGTGGGAAAGGATTTATCACTTGTAGTTCTTATCAAAAACATGAAGAAACTCACACTGGGAAGAAACCCTACGTACGTAAATACTGTGGGAAAACGTTCAGCACACATGGCAGTTGTGAAATACACGAAAGGATTCACACTGGAGGGAAACTGTACCTATGTAAACAAAGTGGGAAAGGTCTCAGCCCTGGTGCATGTCAAACACATGAATGGACTAACACTGTAGAGAAACCCTATGTACGTAATCAGTGTGGGAAAGGTTTCAGCACAAGTGGAGAGTGCCAAACGCATGGGGGGACTCAGACTGGGGAGAAACCGTACGCATGTAAACTGTGTGGGAAAGCTTTCAGAACACACAGAGTTTGTCAAGGACATGAGAGGACTCACGGTGGGGAGAAACCCTATGTCTGTAGGCAGTGTGGGAAAGCTTTCAGCAGACTAGGTAATTGCAATCGACATGAGAGAGGTCATTCTGGGGAGAAACCCTATGTATGTAAGCAGTGTGGCAAAGCGTTTAGCACACACAATGATTGTCAGATACATGAACGGAGGCACACAGGGGAGAAACCGTATGTATGTAAGCAGTGTGGCAAAGCGTTTAGCACACACAATGATTGTCAGATACATGAACGGAGGCACACAGGGGAGAAACCGTATGTATGTAAGCAGTGTGGCAAAGCGTTTAGCACACACAATGATTGTCAGATACATGAACGGAGGCACACAGGGGAGAAACCGTATGTATGTAAGCAGTGTGGCAAAGCGTTTAGCACACACAATGATTGTCAGATACATGAACGGAGGCACACAGGGGAGAAACCGTATGTATGTAAGCAGTGTGGCAAAGCGTTTAGCACACACAATGATTGTCAGATACATGAACGGAGGCACACAGGGGAGAAACCGTATGTATGTAAGCAGTGTGGCAAAGCGTTTAGCACACACAATGATTGTCAGATACATGAACGGAGGCACACAGGGGAGAAACCGTATGTATGTAAGCAGTGTGGGAAAGGTTTTACCACTCGTAGTGGTTGCCAAAGACATGAAGAGACTCACACTGGAAAGAAAACCTATATATGTAAGCATTGTGGGGAAGTGTTCGGCACACACAGATCTTGTCAAAGACATGAGCAGACTCATCGGAATAAAACCATGTGTATTTAAGCAGTGTGGGAAAGCTTTCAGCATACAATTCCTGTCAAACACATGAAAGGACCCACTGGGAAGGGAAAAGAAGAATATATATATATACGTCTGTGTGAGTCTTCCAACACAACAGGGTCAAAAGATGAACAGTCCCCGCTGGCAAGAAGCCATATGTATGTGGGCAGGGTGGGAACACTCAGGAGACAGAATTTGTCAAGGGCAACAGAGGACTCAGGGTGGAGAGAAACCACATGTATGTGAGCAGTGTGGAAAAGCCTTCAGCACATTCAGTTATTGTCAAACATGACTGGATTCACACTAGTGCAAAACCCTATGTAAGCAAGGTGGGAAAGTTTTCAGCACACAGGTGTTGTCAGATACCTTTTCAGACTCGTACTGAGGAGAAATCTTGTTTATGTAAATGGTGCGGAACAGCTTTTAGCAGAAACCAAGATTGTCAAATTCATGTAGGGAACTCATATGGGGGAAATCCCTAGGTATATATTGGTAGCCCTAATATTTTGAACAGTGTACCTAATCATAACAAGTTAGTTATGCTTAGACGATTAAATTAGCCATCATGTGGGCAATATTATAAAAGCTCTGTCTCAACTGTTTACTTCTTTTGGCTTTTTAAGAAGTGTTTCCCCATGTAGTACAGGCTGGTCTCAAACTGGTGGCAGTCCTCAGCCTTACAAGTGCTGGGATTACAGACTTTCACCATCTCTCCTGTTAAAAAGTGTGTCTGTTTTACAGTGAAATGGTAAATAACCTGTGTGCTTCATGACGTATTACTACATTGTAGAACATAGCATTAGTTTTTACATGATGAAATACGGGGCTAATTTTATTACAGCTCACTTATAATCAGTTCTTTATCAAGACTTTGTGTAGTGCGTTCTGCTATTTCAGCCTGAGGAAACATGAAAATAGAGGTAATTCTTTCCTGAGCATATTTATTTCCTACCATCTTAGCGTAAAAAAAAAAAAAGTCTAGTGCTACCGGTGGTTTGTGTCTGTAATCCCACCCGCTCAGGAAGCGCAGGTTGACAGTGGAACCTGTGACAATGAAATATGAAGTGCTGCAGGTGTAGCTCAGTTTATTAATATTCTTTGTGTAAACCCTGTGTTTTATCTGCCAGGCATCGTATCCCACGGCTAATCTAGCACGTGAAAGACTGAGACAAGGGGATCCCCAGGACATCTAGACTGTTCTGGACTATGTAGTGAGTGTAAGCCAAGCCTGAACTAAATAGGAAGATTCTATCTAACCCCTCACACACAAAACGTGTGTTACTAAGCAACAGTAATAGTCTGTGCTTAGGTAAATGCTTCAGTTTTGTGTTAGAATGTAGTCACTATTTGTGTGATTACATAATTGTTACTACTACATTTCATCATTGTTTCCATTCTTCCACAATTTTCCTCTGATCTTACGGAGAAAACCTAAGCACAAACACCGGTCTTCACCACAGCCGTCAACCTCACAGTGATCATTTTTCCCATGGTGAGGGGCACACGTTGGCATGGGTCCTTCCCACATCACAGACATGAAGTTCAAATGGACTTCACAGGACTGGTGATCTTGTGCACCTTAGAGAAACTGAAGACCACAGTGTGAACAACCTACCATGTACTAGCCCAGAAAGCATTCCTGTGTACATACAATAGAATCAAGATTATTGCATGGATATTATCAGATCATAGGGCAATGACAGAAATAAATGTCAACAATGTATAGAAACTAAGGGAACTCAAGAATACTATCTTCTATAAATGAGTCTCAGAAGATATTGAAGTAAACATTAGTTTCTAGAGTCCAATTATAATAGCAATACAACATAACCTATAAGGCAGAATGAAAGCAGTGATACCTGGGCAAAACATACATGGTTCAAACCACTTAAATCAGGAAAACCAAATAAACTCACGTAAATAACCTACCATTGCATCTCAGGTTCCTGGAATAACAAATCCGAAGTTCTGATGAGTTGGGAAATTGTAAAGGGAAAAGTGGAACAGAATAAATTGAGACTGAGAAACACAATGATTCAAAAGGTGTTTGTTTGAAAGAATAAACAAAATGGACAGTATCTTAGCCTTGCTTTCTGCTTTGATCTTTATAATTTCCTCCCTTGCACGAGATTTGGCTGTTTCTTCTTCCTGTCTTTCTAGGAGTTTAAGATCCATCATTAGGTTGTTTACTTGAGCTGGATATATTTTCCTTGTGTGGGCATTCTCTGCTATGAATTTTTCACGTAGAACTGCTCGATTGTGTCCCGTACATCCTGTATGTTGTATTGCCATCACTTATTTGTAAAAACTTGACTAATTTCTTTAATTTCCTCTGTGACCCATTGATTATTCAGGAGAGTAGTACTCAATTTGCATGTGTTTGTGCATTTCTTAGGAATTCTTATGCTATTGATCTTCAGCTTAATTGCACTCTGGTCTGATAATATACGTGGGATAACTTCAACTCCTTTGCATTTATTTAAACATATTCTATGAGCTAGTATGTGGTCTGTTTTGGAGAATGACCCATGTGCAGCCAATAAGAATGTATATTCTGATTTTCTGGGATGAAACGCTGTAGACATCTATTAAGTGCATTTCTTTAAAAACTTGGTTCAGTTCTAGTATTTCATTGTTGATTTTTTTGTCTCAATGATCTATGACAGTGGGGTATATAGGTTCCCCCACTACAATAGCATTAGTACTGATTTGGTTTTTCATGTCCCTTAATACTTGTTTTGTATAGTTGGGGGCACTAATACTTGGTGCATATATATTCATGATTGTCATCTCTTCCTTTTGGATTGTTCTCTTCACAAGGATATAGTGCGCTTCTTTGTCTTAACCAGTTTTCGTTTGAAATTTACTTCGTCTGTGAATAAAATAGGTACCCCTGCTTTTTCCTGGGCTTCTGTCACATGGAGAACTGTTTTCCGTCCTTTCACTTTTAATTTGTGAGTGTCTTTTTGAATTATGTGTGTTTCTTGTATACAACATATTGTCAGATTTTGCTTCTTACTCCATTCTGCCAGTCTGTTTCTTTTGATTGGTGAATTGAGGCCTTTGACATTGGTGATTATAACTGATGTGTATCTACTTATTGTCATGTTATTCTCCAGTCGGTGGCTCTTTTTAATCCCGCCTCCCTTCAGTTCCTTGCCTAATTGATTTGCTCTGTTGGGCCTCATGGTGTTGTGACCTTCATTGTCTTTTTCTAGAATATTATTTAGAATTCTGTGTAGTGCTGCTTTGGTATTCATAAGGCTTCTCAGTTCTTTGTCGTGTAAGTATGTTATTTCCCCATCCATTGTAAAAAAGTTTTGCAGGATACATCAGTCTAAGTTGGAGGTTGTTTTCTTTTAGGGCTTGAAATACCTCACTCCAGGCTCTCCTCGACCTAAGGATTCGTGTTGAAGTCTGGTGTGATTCTTAAGGGCTTTCCTTTGCATGTGATTTGTTTCTTTTCTCTAAGTGCTTACAATATTTTGTTCTGTTGGTTTTTCTGGGATTTTGAGTATTACATGTCTAGGTATGGGTTTGTTTTTGTGTTTTTGTTTTTATCTTGGATAATTAGAGTCCTATGTGCCTCACTTATTTGTATGTCAAATTATTTTGCTCTGTTTGGGAAGCTTTCTGTCATTGTTTCTATGAACAGTTTTTTTTTTTAAATGTCATTTATACTTTCTCCTTCTACTTCCTGGATCCCTATCAGTGTTATTCTTGTTTGCATCATCTAGGAGTTATTGGATCAATTTCTCATGATCCCTTACTGTGGTTTTTTGTTTTTTGGTTTGGTTTGGTTTGGTTTTTTGTTTTTTTTGAGACAGGGTCTCACTATGCAGTTGAGACTGACCTGGAACTCATTGTGTAGCCCAGGCTGGTCTCCAACTAGCAGTGATCCTCCTGCCTCAGCCTCCCTAGTTCTGGGATTACAGGTGTACGCCATCGCACTCAGCGATCCCTTAATGTTTTTAAGAGATCTCTCTTTTCATAGTCACTGACTGCAATCCTATCTTCTATATCTGAAATTCTATCTTCACATTTGTTCATTCTGCTGTAAAGCGCTCTATAGAGTTTTTAATATCCTGGATATCTGTTTGACATGTTTTCCATTTCTTTCCTACACTGTGCATTCATGGCTTCTATCGTGGTCCTGAACTCATCTTTTTTGGGGAGGGGGTCTGTTTCTGTTCTGGAGTCTCTCTAATCATGTCTTTCATTGTGCTCACCATCTCTAGTTATCTGAGAAATTATTTCGAGTTTTTCTAGAGCCTGATTGATCTGTTTTGTTACTTCCTGTGCTATGAATTCAGGGTGTCGTGGTGGCTCATTGTCAGACTTTTCCACCTCGTTTCCCACAGAATTTGCCATTGGTGAATTAGGAGTCTATATCTGTGCCTTGCTGAAGTGTTTTCTTATTTTTATTTTTGTTGTTGGTCTGTCCTTGGTTTAATTCCTGCGTTAGTACCTCGATCTTCCTGATACAGCTGCTCTTTAGGTTTTGAGTCTCTAATGACTCAGAGACACTCTCCTTTTCATAATATCAGGAAGGACAACCGATTAAATTAATCACAACCCTTTAACCCAATTGATACAATCAGCAACACAGCAGCATCAAGCACAGCTTAGAAATTGACAATTTGTGGTAGTTATTAATCTATCACCTTTAACCATGTGAATTCAGTCAAAATTGAGGACCAGCCCAAAATACACTTACAGTAAATAAACTCTTCAGTATAGCAACTTTGCCCTTCAGGGTGGGGAATTAGACGGAGGTGGGAGGTGAGGAATAGTTAGAGAGATATGAGAAGGTTTCAAGTGAAGCCGGAAGGCACAGGTTGATCACACAAACCCTAGGATACTGTTGAAGACAAGAGGGAAAGATAGTGCTAGATGAAAGACAAGAATAGAACAACAGTAATAGGAAAGCTATACATTGCACTCACTTTCCTTTGAAACTAAAGACATTTGAGAGAATGAAAAAAAATCCGAATTAGGGCAGGAAGAGGAACAAAAAGGGAGATGAAGACAATGTGGAGGAGCAAGAGATTGAGGGGAAAAATAAGAAAATGGAAGAATTTGAAGAGTGAGAACAAATAAAAATTTAGAAATAAAAATTAAAAATGAGTGCTGGGGATTTAGCTCCGTCATTCTGGTGACTACCTCGCAAGTGCAAGGACCTGAGTTCAATCCCCAGTTCCAAAATAAATAAATAAATAAAAATAAGCAAAAAAATTGAAGGGCCCCATTCAGGGTGTATCTGCTGTCACAACTGACAATGTGGGCACAGTGCAGAACTAAGTCAGTCAGTCTCAGCAAGCCAACGGCAGACCCCCGAGAGTCAGGATGAATTCGGGCTGCAAGGCCCAAGTTGAGCTCTGGACCTCCTGCCGGGTTAAACTCTGTCAGGCTCTACAGCAGGTTCCAGCTGCCCTCCTGCAGATGGTCCAGTTCTTATGGGAGGTGGTGATTCTTTGGATTTACCAACTACGGAGATCTGATGTGCCTTTATTGCAGTGGTTCGCTCCCATTCTATGTTCTGGAGCTCAGTACAATGTCCTTTATGACCACCTGTGCCTCTGCAGTGTGGATCCAGGTAGCAGGAAAACCAAGAGGCCTGAGAGCACAGGAGGGGTCGCTACAGGTTGCATCTGCACGGCTGGGCAGTCCTCTCTGGTTGGCTCCCATGAAGGCCCAGGGTGCTGGGGGCTGGGGAGGCAGCCTAGCTCTGTATGTTAGCTGGGTAGTCCTCTGTCATAAATACTTGTGATCATAGCTCCCCTTTTCAAGACTTTTTTCCCTTTTCAGTAGTTATATCCTAATTCCTTGATCAGTTGGCTCTCTCTCCATGTTAGCGTAACTGCCCAAGGATGAAGTCCCTCCCAGCTTGCTGCTGCTATTTATTTTGCCCAACGTGAGCCCATCCACACATGGATGTTAAAAAACTCAGCTTTCCCAGCAGGCTGCTGGAATCTATTCCTGATTTTAGCCCCTGATGTTTTTTTAGTCTCTGTTCACCGGAATAAACTTCTTTTTCACACAAAAACCTGTCTCAGTCAAGTGGTCTCAGATGCACCATTTATAACAGGTATCATGCTGAGCTTCTTTGACACCTCATGAATAACCCATTTTTTGGCCGGGCATGGTGGCGAATGTCTGCAATCCCAGCACGTGGGAGGCTGAGGCAGGAGGATCACTGTGAGTTCGAGACCAGGAACGGCTACATACTGAGTTCTAGGTCAGTCTCATAAAAAGAAGAAAAAAAAAAAGTCTACGTTCTTTAGTATCCACTAGACACAGTCCTCAGTGAATGACTACCTGTTTACTGACTGTTTGGACCCAAGACTGAGGCTTGCTCTTTAGACATGCAATCCACCACTTGGATTTATGACTTCTCAGGACAGTAATTTTTGCTGATTGTACTGCAAGTAGATAATTTCAACTTTATTTCATTTTTCTTTGTAGTACTGGATCCCAAAGTTATGCAAATAAAGCAATCAGCAAATTGAAATTTACTTTGTTTTGAATATTGAAATGTACACACTGTAGTTTCTCATTTAGCAACCAATTCAGTTAGTGAGCTTTTCTCACAGGACCATAATTCCTTCATTAAATGACGAATATCCACTACACTTGTAATTGTTTTTGCCATGAATAATTTATTGTATTGTTTTCATAACGTTATATTTCCATGATTCTTCCTATATTCAAGTGGACTGAATCCACTTGATTAGGACAGCACAATGTAGTAAAAAGGCAGATGCTAACACGGCAGGGCAGCTGCAGTGGGGTTATCAACAAAGGCAACGTGGGTCTCTGAGCAAAGCCCTCCTGGTGGGATGCAGGTCGGGACGCGAGGAAGGGGCCAATGCACCGTGATCCTGACCATTTCTGGATGTGAACAGAACGAAGAAAAGACAGACACGCAAGTAAAATACACAATTATAGTAAGATTTCAATATCTTTATGTTGTTTTGCTTTTTTGAGACAGTCTTGTTATATAGCGCAGGCTGGAATTGAACTTACTCTATAGCCCAAGGCAACCCTGCCTCAGCCTCCCAAGTGCTG